TCTTACCTCAGAATTTTCTAGTTTATGTCTAAAATCCTTCAAAAATCAGCTTCCTCCTTCATTTACGAGAAATTCGCATGACGTTACTCTCCTAGGCTCCGCCCACTTTTCCTTCCTCGCTCTTTTCCATATTTTTATTTCGGAACTAAAGCGCGAGAACTGTTCCCGTTGTTGTTTTGTTCCCTTTTTTTTTTAAATATGATGTCATCAGGCTCCGCCCCTTTTTTCTAGTTTTATTTTTTGCATTTGTTTATCACCTAGAAATTTTCATCTTGACAATTAGCTCCAATTTCCTGAAACTACCAAAAAATTGGGCCAATATCGTTATTGTTCTTTTTTTGTAGTCCTACATTTTGTTGCCATTTTCTGGTATCTCAGTTTTCGATTTAAAAAAATGGAATTTACATTTAAAAATTATCATAGAAAAATATTTTTTTCTCAGATTTTTTTAATACTGTAATTTTTATATTGCTTTTTTTATTGCTCATATTACAAGCACCATCCGGAACTCTCGTAGATAAACAAGCGAGCCGCTAGCCCACGCGGCAAAAAACTTTTTCTGCGCAAAGGTCCTTCTAAAAACTTCAATAGGATCCGAACTCTTGACCTATCCGGCCAAAGACCAGCACGCAACCCGCTAGGCTACGTCACACGTCTTTTTTTTTTTATATTGCTTTATCCTTGCTGAGCTTCTTCTCCGCTAAGAAATGTCTATTCATGAATTTGTTTTTGTTCAAAAAATGGCAAAAATGAATTTGGCCTTGAGAGGATGCGATCCCTTGACCTTTTTGACTGGAGAAATACCCAATTTTCTATCGAGAAAAAGGCAAAAATGTGATAAACTTCGAGTGGATTCGATCTCTGGACCTTTCTGACAAAAGAAACACCAACTATTCAATCAAGAAAAAAGGCAAAAATGTCGTAGACCTTGACAGGATTCGATCCCTTGACCCTTCTGACGAAAAAAAAAGTCAGCTCTTCAATCAAATCATTTATTTTGTTGGTTTAGTCATAGATGTATCGACTAGGCGGTGAACAAGAACTTTGAAAGCTATAACGAACAACCGCCTTCGACGAGCTAGAAGTCCAAACGTGTAGTCGAAAGAGTTGAAAGCATGGTCTTACGGTCCTTCGCCTCGTCCTTCTGCGCGTTGTCCATCCAGTTGCGCCTTGACGAGCTCAGAATGTAGCGGATGTTGTGCTGGAGCCCGGAGACCGTGCTCTAGGTGGAAGCCTCAGAATGAGAGCTACCACTTCGAGTGAAGATTTTACACGGAAATTGGAAAAAAAGCGAAAATTTCTTAGATGGTAACAGGGTTCGACCCCTTGACCCTTCTGACTAGAGAAATACACACTCTTCTACCGAGAAAAAATGACAAAAATGGGATAAACCTTGTGGATCCGATCCAATGACCTTGTTGACTGAACAGAAATTTTTTTCAACCTTCCAGCTAGAAAAAAAGACAAAAGTTCTCTACCTTGAGAGGGTTCGATCCTTTGACCTTTCTGAAAAAAAAAAAGTCAGCTCTTCTATTGGAAAATGGCAAAAGTATTGTTTAGCTTGACAGGATCCGATCCCTTGACCTTTCTGACTAGAGAAACACCAACTCTTCTACCAAGAAAAAACGGCAAAAGTTTTTTAGACCTTGACAGTGTTCGATCCCTTGACCCTTCTGACTAGAGAAGCACCGACTCTTCTACCGAGAAAAAATGGCAAAAATATGTTGTGCCTTCAAAGGACTCGATCTCTTGACCTTTCTGACTAGAGAAGCACCGACTCTTCTACTGAGAAAAAAAGCAAAAATATCGTAGACCTCGACAGGATTCGATCCCTTGACCTTTCTCACCAAAGACAAAGTCGCAACCATCAATTCCAAGCCTTCAAAATCCACGCTTCCTATCATTAAAACAGTTTTTTCCTCGCCTACAATTTTCATTTCAACTTTTCCGGCTCATCAAATCGGGTTTTTTTTCCTCCCGCTGTTCGATTACTTTACACTTGGCGGCTTTCCCAACGTTTTTATTAGCGAATCAATTTGAGGGCTTTGAGCGAAAGTGTAGTTTTTCGTGTTTTGTTTGTTGTTTGCCTAGTTTTTGGTCTTGAGCCTTTGGATTTTCATCGGCAGGATTCGAACCTTTGACCCTTTGGTCGACATTTGAAATTATAAACCCCTAGGTTATGCTTGATGTCGTTTTTCGAAGACCTAAGTTGATTAAAAAAACTTTTTTCTGCATAAAATTATTTTTTTCCAGCTCAAGTTCAGAAGATAAGGATATCATAATGCTCTTATTGACTAGATGTTGCTCAGATTACACATATAGTGCTCATATTATGGCTTTAAACAGGTTCTCAAGCCAAAAACTGCAGCATAAAAATTTTTCTTCAAACATAAAATAAGCTCATGATTGTTGCTCATATTGAACACCCATTGCTCATCTTAAAGCTTCATATTTCAACCATTTTCCGCCAAATTCTTCATCTCTTTTTTCATCCAAAAGATCGCCCCATTCATTTTGTTTTCCCCATAGGCCTCATCATTTAAATAAAAGTGCTTGAATAAAGCTCCTCCGGGGGGCGTTTCTCATTTTGAAACGACAAAAAAAACTGCTCAGCTTTCTGATCCGACCAGTTTCCTATCGGAAAACCTCAATTTTCCGCTTTTTCTGTCCAGAAAATTCTCATTTTCCCATGCAAAGTTTGGGCGGCTCTTTTAATCTGGATTTATTTGAAAACTGAGCCGCGCCACCCGGCTTTTTCCCTTATGAAGCCCAAAAATAAATAAATAACCCGATGGGTGTCTTGTTGCTCATGTTAAAGATTTTTGAGGGTTCTCGAGGAGTTTAATTTCGGTTCGAAAATTGGTTAGAAATACTGAATCGGAGATTTTGGATTCTCATTTCTATATTCAGAAGGAAAATCTGATCTTGAAAAAGTTTTTGCTCATTTTCTGACATTTTTACGCGGGCTCTTTGATGCTTTTCATAGCTCAACCGGTAAAAGTCCAGAATCCTGAGTCATTGGTCTCTGGTTCGATCCCCGCCCAGGATTTGCCTCTTTTAAGCTTTTTCTATCTGAGATAACACTAATCGCGATCATGGGATGCTATTCTGGAAGGTTCTTTCTTATATGCACCATAGTTCAATCGGCATGATCTTAGAATAATAGTCGAAAGGTCAATATTTCGATCCTTATACGGTCTGGACTTTTCAGAGCGCTTCCGAGGAATTTCTGAGGGGTCCCTATAGAAGTTTGTTGGGTTAGAAACCCTTCTATAAGGAAAAATAGGGCCCCCCTATATGGGTTAAAATTTTAGGAACCCCTCATAGGGCCCCTATGAAACCCTCTATAGGAACCCCTCAAAAGTTTCTCAATTCATCGGGTTTTTTTTTCGAGTTTTGAGTGGTTTCTGGCTCGACTGGTAGACTTATAGCTGCCTTTGAGATTTTAGAAACTCTGTTTTTTTGGCTCAGTCGGCAAGAGTCCTGGACTTAGCCAGGTGGTCCGAAGTTCAAGTCCTGCAAAAACTAGAGCTGCTTTTGACGTTTTCACGTATATATTCCTTCAGGAGGTCCGGCTCAATCGGTAAGTTTCTGAACTTCTTCTATGAAGTCTGCCAGGATTTTACTCAAGAGACCACTTATTCAAGTTCTTGTCTCCTTTGGGTCATGTTCTTGTCCTGCTCTCATCAGTCACTCTTTTTGGTCTGTCAACCCAGATCTTTTCTCTTTATTTGATAAATGGGACGACTTGGGTTTCCAGCTTTCCGAACACTGCTGGATCATAGCTCAGTCGGTAAGAATCTTGAATTCTACTCAGATAGTCTTTGATTCGACTCCCAGTGACGATTTAGTTGTTTACCGTGTCGATTTTCTGCCAGCTCGATCGGTAAGGATCCTGGATTCATGTCGGATAGTCTTTGGTTCGAGTCCCATTGAAAGCTTAGCTTTTTGACGCTTCAGATCACTCAGATAGTTTTTGGTTCGACTCCCAGTGAAGTTTAAGTTTTTCGCCGTGTCGATTTTCTGCTAGTTCAATCGGTTAGGATCCTGGATTCCAGTCAAACAGTCTTTGGTTCGAGTTCCATTGAAGGCGTAGCTTTTTGACGCTTCTATTGGTTCAGACACTTTCACTTTCTTCAGCTTACTGACTGCTGGTCGCGTCAAAAAGCTACGCCTTCAATGGGCCTTGAACCAAAGACTATCCGACATGAATCCAGGATCCTTACCGATCGAGCTAGCAGAAAATCGACACAGCAAAAAACTAAATCTTCCCTGGGAGTCGAACCAAAAACTATCTGAGTGGAATTCAAGATTCTTACCGACTGAGCTATGATCTAGCAGTGTTTGGAAAGCTGGAAACCCAAGTCGTCCTATTTATCAAATCGAGGAAAAGTTCTGGTGAGAAGTCCCACTGCGAACCATTTTCTGGTGATTCGGTACTGATCCTGGACTATAGCCAAGAAGTCTGGACCTCAACATCTGCAGAAAAAGTTGCTGTTTTTCACATTTGCACGTGTTCTTTGTGTTGGGGGTAAGGCTCCTGGATTCGAGCCAAAAAGTCAAAAAGAGGCTCCAGTTTCTGACATTCGGATTTTTTCTCTTTGCTCGCGGCAAGATTCTGAACGTCTTCTACAATGATCTGACAACTCCAAAAATTCTTTGAATATATGAACTGGACCATAGCTCAATCGGCAAGAACTTAGAGTCTCATCAAAATGGTCTTTGGTTCGATTCCTCCAGAGAACGTAGCTGTTTTTGACGTTTTTTCTTCTGTTGGAGGTCTAGCTCGATTGGCAGGGTTCCTGGATTCTGAAGTGAATTTTGAACAAAAAAAAGTTGCTGGTTTTGACATTTTTTGCTGGAGGTCTCGGCAAGAACGTCTTCCAGAAAGATCTCTGGACCTTCCGCATGTCCTTTTTCGGGTTGGTTCCTGCTCCATCACTCACTCCTTCTGACCCCTCAGACTCTTTGTCAGACTTGATAAAAAGGCATTGTGTGGAATGCCAAAGTGCGGATGTTTCTTTCCTTTCTTCATTTTTTTGCTCCTGAGCCTGACGTTGGACCCAGTGGCTCTGACAGCTGTCAGTTCTCCTCGCAACATCTCTCTGTCTCCCCCCATAAGTTTATATGTTCTCCCGTGTTTCTCCACGGCCCTGTTCAAGTACCTCCACGCGACCACGTTTTTTTCCCTCTCTTTAACTTTGTTGAGACGTTTTTCAACTTTTTTCTCTTTTTGATTGCCTTTTTGTTGATTTATTTGATTTGTTTGATTAATGTTGAACTTCAAAAGTTACTGTAGCTTACAGATTTTGTACTTTGAAGTTTTTTTTCAGTCTTCAGAAAATATTTTTGAAGAGTTTTTGTCGGTTATCGAACTTTTCTGACTCGAAAAAGTTATCAAAAAGTTTTTCTCCCATCTTGCGTGAAATGCCTGGAACCTTAAGATTTGGAGTGCACCCGACTTGAAACGAGTTTCGCGGGCGTGAAAAGTAAGGAATATTTAAACAGCAAAGCCAAGGTGAACATCTAAGCCATTCCAAATGCGACCCAATCTCAAAAAATATGTCCAAAAAAGTAGAAGGCAATATATTTTTTTTTGCTTTTTAACGATATCTGAAGCATTCTGACCTTTTTTCCAAGCTTAAGAATGAAATTCATGAAGTTATCCCATAGCTCAACAGGTAAAATTCAATAACCTAATCTTCTGGTCTCTGGTTCGATACCGGCTTAGGTTTTGCCATTTTCCAGCTTTTCCTATTTTTATCATTCTCCAAAACTAGTTCGAAAGACTTTTTCAATAATTTTGCACTTTCCATCATTTTTATTATAATCTATCCTGAGCCTCAGCTTTGTGAAATTAATACTTTGTACTTCTTAAATCATGATTCACTGTGTAGGGCTATGAAAAAATTTAAAATGCCAAATTTTCTGATTTTCTCCCTCTTTTTTAGTGTTCTTAGGTCTCCCAGAAGTGAGCTTATTATTCTTTTTTTTTTGGCTCTTTCAAAATGACTTCCGGTGGCTATTCGAAGGATATTCAAGCTCATAAGTTTTCCCCAGTAGTTTTGGCTTTTCAGAACCCTTTTTGGAAGGTTTTTATGAACTTTTAGAGAGGAAATTGAATTGAAAAAAACTATATTTTTTTGAGAAAAAAATTTGGGTTTTTTTCAGCTCAGAAATTTTTTTCGTGACATATCTTTCACGTATTTTTTTGCCCGAAATGTATTTTACCTACAATTTTCTTCATCTAGGACCAATTTTTGAGCTTCCAAGACAAAAAAAAAACTCAAAATCTGGCCCCCAAAAAGTCTGCGCTTTTTCATCTTTCCACCCATTTTTCGACTGTTGCTACGCTCATTTTCGATTCCACAAGAAAAATTAGTTTTCTCTGTTTTTTTTCCCCCATAGGAAACTTTGTTTTTTGTGTTTTCACTCGGCAAAAATAATCTAAATTCCTTGAGATTTCCCTTGCAGATAACTAACTTGATTCTGGCTCAAGAGAGCAAATTTTTCGAAGGAAACTGGACGGAGGATTCTTAATTTAAGAGGAAAAAATGCAAGAAAGACACACTCGAAATGGCTCATTTCGGAATTCAAAAAAACTGGAAAAACAACGGTTTTTAAGCTCTTTTTGGTATTTTTTTCTGACTTCCGGGAGCACTTTTTGCTTTTTTTCGAGCTTCAAACTTTATTTTTCAAATAATTTTTTTGTTCTTTATATAAATTCCTATTTTTTTAAAAATGTCTATTGAGCCTATTCCAAAAATTCCATAGTAAAATTTTAAAACTTTAAATTTCTCCCCAAAAATTTCTTTATTTGATATTTTTTTATTTGGTATTGAGAAAAATGCTCACTTTTTTTCTGAAAAATTGTCAAATTTTTTTCAATTTTTTTCTCAACCTTGTTTCTCAAATGATAAAAAAATACTATTAATAATATTGTTCTTCCGTTATTTTTTTCTATTGAAAAAAATTGTTTTTTTCAGTGTCCTCTTTGTCATAAAAAGCTATAAAATTGCACCCAAAACAATGGAAAAGTTTTGAATTTCAATTTTTTTCCCCAAAAAAAGTTGTTTTCCAAAGCATTTTTTTCATCATTTTTTTGAGCTCTTTTTGAGTTTGAAAAAAAGTGAATTTTTTTTCCATCAATAATTGTACTAAAACTACTTTTTTTATTACCTACCCCATAATTTTTTTTTGAGAAAAAAATCTCGGTCCGCTGTAATTTTTTCCTCTAATAACACGGCATAAACCTTCTATATAATTTAAAAAATTTACAATTTTCAAACGTTCAGGTGGAATAATCCGAAGAACAACATCAGCAGCAGCACTTCAAAGGTTTTTTTTTTGAATCAAAAAAAAAAATGAAGAGGAACTTTTTTCAGAACGAAACATGTTAACAACGACCCTGGCGCCAGCTTTCAACATGCTTCAGAATATTAGCACGATTCCTACCGTATCCCCCGAGGCTCTTGAACATTTCAATCGAGTCAAGAGCATCTATCAATGGCTCATTCCGATCATGATCGTCATTTTACTGGTGAGTGGCTCAGCTGGGAAAAACGTAGACAAAGAGAAAGTAGTTGTGAGTTCGAGTCCTGAGCGGGTTTTTTGACGAAAAAGTTGACTCTAAGATTTTCTTGCGAATTTTTAAGTCATTTACTTGTTCTCAGTAACATTCTTATCATGATCGTCATTTTTTTTTTTGGGTGAGTGGCTCAGCTGGGAAAAATAGAGTCAAAGAGAAAAGGATCGCGAGTTCGAGTCCTCAGCGGGTTTTAAGGCAAAAAATATGACTCTAAGATTTTTTTTTTTGCGAATTTTTGAGTCATTTCAATCGATCTCAGCCACATTCTTATCATGATCGTCATTTTACTGGTGAGTGGCTTAGTTGGGAAAAAAGTTGTCAAAGAAAAGGGGTCGTGAGTTCGAGTCCTGAGCGGGTTTTTTGACGAAAAATTTGGCTCTGAGCTTTTTTTTGAGTTTTTTAAGTCATTCAGTGGTTCTTAGTAACATTGTTATAATGGTCGTCATTTTACTGGTGAGTGGCTCAGCTGGGAAAAAAGTTGTCAAAGAAAAGGAGTCGTGAGTTCCAATCCCAGGCGGGACTTTTAGCCAAAATCAGCACTTTTAAAAAGGGTTTTTTTAGATTTTTATTATTATACGTAACCTTCGAACTTGATAAGGAAAGCTCAGAGTTAAAATTTGTCGAAAATAAAAAATAAAAGCAATAAAGAACAAGCTGAGGAGTCGAACCTTCTACCTTTGGATTGAATTTTTGGCGCTACCAACTGAGCCATGGTACTCTTTTTTTGAAAAGAACTTTATTGGCAACAGTTTGATGTAGTACATTTATATTACTCTGAAAAATCGTAACATACTTAAGTATCCAGTAAAAAAAATATTTGCGAAGAAATATTGAATTTCACTTTCAAAAAAAGGGAACAAAAACAAGTTTCGCATTTTTTTTTAGAAAAAAATTTATGCTTTTCGAATTTTTTCAATGATGCCGTGTTTAAATGAATATCGCGAAGTATGAAATAACTGTTAGAGAGTGGAAAAGACAACTAAATGTTTAGAGATTCAGACATAAATTTGAATTTTGAGTGAGATTTACTATGGGTACTGTGAAGGATGATAATAATAATTTATTGACAGATCAGCGTGAACCCTAACGAGTTCACTTGAATCTAGAATTTGAGATAATACATTGTACAGTTATACATCATTTGAGTCGTGGAGGAATAGACAAGAAGATCTCGTGCAATGGTAGATTGACCAGTAAATTTTTTTAAAGACTTGGAGTGGTGGCTGAATTGAAATTTGGAAGTGAGTTTGTTCCAAGTAGGAATTGTTTTAAAGAAAAAATCATTAGAAAACTGACCTATAATAGTTAAATCTTGCTCTAAAACGGCAAAATTTGAGAAATAAGGATCTTGGGACCTTGGATTTACGGATAAGACTTGTACTTGTGATCCGAAAAATGCTTGTTGTTTCAATTCCAACTATTTTTCAGGTGGCGATCATTGGAAACGGCGTTATCGTCGTTTCCTGCCCATTCCTGACGTCTCCCGTCTCACCCTACCTTCAGTTATGTATTTCGTTGGCCCTGGCCGATATGACGGCCGCTTCCCTTCTGTTAACTGGTTTGTTTCGAAGCTAACCGACATGATTTTTTGTCAAATTGAAAGAGGAGATTATAAGCTTTCTAATGGTACCTGAATTTACCTAGTTTTATCCAAAAAGTGGCTTGCAAATGAAGTTTTGTTCATGTTCCATGGTCCTATAGAATAATTTTTCGTGAAGGAGAAGCTTGAAATGATCAATTTTCAGGCCTGGTCGTTAATTCTTACCTGCCAGTTGTACTAGGCTTCAACATACGGAAGGATACTCAATGTATGGAAGCATTATTGGAGGTGAATTTCTTTAAGCCCACAAAAAAGTCTTCAAAATCATCCCTGCATCAGTTGAAGTATGAAAAGGGACGCGAAAAGAACATGGCACTTTGAATAACACCTTTAACAAAAATAAGGGCTTACCCCGCAGTGAACCCCGAAAAAAGTGAACTTTTGGTTGATGTTTGCGCTGCACCCCGCGTTGGACCTGAATAGGGTGAACCCCTGGGGCAACCAGTCGGAAATAAAATTTTTTTTTGAGCTACCTCAACAGCCTAGGATGAAACAGTAGGAAATGGTGATATTGGGAAACAAACCACTTCGAAATCGTGTACGAAAAAAGTACCTTAATAGGCATTTGAAGCTAAACGGGGTGCACCCCTGGTTACACGGCGGGGTGAAACAAGAGTTCGACGCGGGGCGCACCGCAACTTTTGTTAAGTTAGTATAAGAGGGAATTTATATCAATAACGTTTTTTTTTGGCATCTAGAAGTTCTTGTTTGCTCAAAGACTCATCTAATATGAAACGACAATGAAAGTCGTTTTGCCAAGAAGAGTCGAACCTATGACCTTCTCATCCACCTCCATTTTACTCACCACTGCGCCATGCTTTTCTTTTTACAACCACAGGAATGTTTTGCAGTTCCAAATCAGCTGACATCTGATAGATATGTCCCTTTTGAAAGTACTTTACAAATTTAAAAAAAAAACTTGAAGAGGAGTCGAACCTATTACCTTCTTATCCAGCTCCATATTATCAACTAGTGCGCCATGATTCCCGTAAAACAACACTTTTGAATTTTTTGGATCAGCTAATAGAACTTATATGAATAAACTATTCAAACTCCAAATATTGAAGTTCGTTTGCTCTCAATTTTCCATGAAGTGGGGTCGAACTCATGACCTTCCTATCTAATTCAAAATCACCAACCACTGCGCCATCCTCACTTTTTTTCAATTCGCAATAATGTTAAAAATATGTTTTGGATCAACTGGCATTTGATATACATTTATTTGAACAAACTATACAAACTCGAAAACTTGAGAAGGAGTCGAACCGATGACCTTTTTATCCACCTCCATGTTACCCACCACTGAGCCATAATCCTCTTAAAACAACACGTTGCAGATGTTCCGGATCAGCGGCATGCTGACATCTGATATGCACCTTTTCGCCTTGGCCATCAATCAGTTTGTCGGCACGATGTGGCCTCTCAAATACAAGGTCTTCTTTTTTTCCAAACTTCCTTCTCAGTTTTCCGCTTCTTCAAACTTTCCTGACAGGAAAATTGAGACCCTCATTCCTGCAACTGAAAACCAACAAAAAAACTTATTTTCTTAGGTTTGAATTTCAGTTCTTGCAAGTTTCCAGTGAATAGACTTTTTTTTCTAAATAGTGACGTCATTTTCCTGTTCTTCATGATGTCATCGTTGATTTCTTATCTTTCTAATAAAATGACGTCATTATTGGTTTCCCATCTTTCTGAAAAAAATGACGTCATTATTGATTTCTCATCTTTCTAAAAAAAAATGACGTCATTTTTCTGATTTCATGACGTCATCGTTGATTTCTTATCTTTCTAAAAAAATGACGTCATTTTTCTGATTTCATGACGTCATTGTTTATTTCTTATCTTTTTGAATAATCTTGTTTTTTTTCAAACTAGTGACGTCATTTTCCTGTTTTTTTCATGACGTCATCTTATTTTTTTACGGAGAATTTTATAAGCTTCTTCTTTAAATTTTTTTGAAAGTTTCGTTTTTTTCATTTTGTCAAGTTTCCAAAGAAGTTTCAAGTTTGATAAGTTTAAAAAAATTATTCAAGTTTCATATTTTATCTTATACCCAACGTTCAATCATATAAAAAAAATTGAAAAAGCTCAAAAATAAGATTTTCTGATCAAGGAAATTGAGCCCAATAAGGAGGTATTTTTTGGTCTACCTTTGACCCAAGATCATTTTTTTTTTCCATTATTCTCTGCTTTGCTCCAATTTTTTGATAATTTTTTCAATTCCTGTTTCGAAATCCAAATAGTAATTTCTGACGATAGGTTAACCCCTGGAAGGGAAACTTTAATCAGCTCCCGTTAGAATTTTCAGAAAAAACTTGGTTTTTAAAGAGTTCCAAACTCAGAAAAATGGAAAACTTTCTTGAATTTTGACGTTTTTCCAAGTTTTGACGGTTCATAGGCTGTATATGACGCTATTTGCCATTATTTATGTGTTTCTCAAACTTTCTAATGTTTAAATTTAAAGAAAAATTCTTCTTTTTTCACGTTAGGCGCAGACTTGTTCTACGCCATTTGGGTTTAGGCTGGGTTGGAAAAAAAAAGGCGTTTCGTTAAATTTTCCTTGGTTTTTGTCGTGTTTTTTATTATTTTAATTCGAATCATTGGTGTAAAATTGTTGAATGTTTTCAAAATAAGGGTAGAAAGACAATTTCCTCAATTTAGAAGACCCTAAATCCACGTTTTATCATCAAAATTAATCTGAAATTTCGATTTTACCGCTCATTTTTATCCTTTTTCCCCTTTAGACCTATTTTTCAATTCCCAAAGGGAGGGTATTAGAATTAAATTTTTTTTTTCATTTTATTGAGCTTTCACTTTTTTTCAATTTTTGAAACTGGTTTTCAAGACTCGAAATAAAATTTTTATGATGAAATTTGATCTAAAAATATCCATTTTACCGCTGACTTACCTATTTCCTATCTTTGAACCTATATTTTTTAAGATTCTCGTCACAACTCGAAGAATCCGAGCGATTTACGTCAGCCTCTGGGTCATCCCCTTGGTTTTCACCTTTTTATGGTTTTTTCTCTCAAAATCAACTTCAAAAATTAATTTTTTAGGTTCATCGCGTATGAAAATGACGGATTCCGCAACGAAAAGTGCGCCTTTACCTTCTACAACACGTTTTTCCCGTTTCGGTAGTTTTAGGTCATCTTTATGAATAAAATTGGGCTTTTTCCAGGATAACAATCTTCATGACATTCATGCTTCCCTTGGTCGCAACTTTGGTAATCTACGGATTGATCATCACCAATTTGATCAAGGCCAAGGAGGAGTTCGAGACGAGCATCCATGAGAGGTTTGATTTTAAGCTCTCTCCCGGGCTGAAACGGGATTTCAGCGGGCGGGCCCGTGTTGAACCCGTATAGCTCGTAGGACTTTTGGCTATAGCTGTGGCTCCGTTGTAACCCATTTGGGTCAGCTATGTCTTCTTGAACCGGTTTTAGCTCCCTTAGGATGCCAGAGTGCTCCCTATAGGGGTTGGGGGGAACAGCTTTTATTGGGGACTAAAAGGGCCAGATGGGCTGAAACGGGATTTCAGCGGGTGTGCCCATGATAAACCCGTTCTAGCGCACTCAGGAACGCCAGAATGATCCCTATAGGGGTTAGGGGGGAGGGAACAGCTTTTATAGGCAACTAAAAAGGGCCAGATGGGCTGAAACGGGATTTCAGCGGGTGTGCCCATGATAAACCCGTTCTAGCGCACTCAGGAACGCCAGAATGATCCCTATAGGGGTTAGGGGGGAGGGAACAGCTTTTATAGGCAACTAAAAAGGGCCAGATGGGCTGAAACGGGATTTCAGCGGGTGTGCCCGTGATAAACCCGTATAAGCGGTAGGACTTTTGGCTACAGCTGAAGCACCGTTGTAACCCATCCGGGTCAGCTATTTCTTGTAGAACCCGTTTTAGCGCACTTAAGAACGCCAGAGTGCTCCCTATAGGGGTTGGGCGAAAATAGACTCTATATAGGGGACTAATAATTGCCCCCTAAAGAGGTGAATTTCAAGAGTGCCTTATGTGGTTTAGGGCCTAACTTCTGAGCTCCTTTACAACGGGACACGCGGGAACTTACATGGGATGAGCATAGCTGGCGACAGCCAAGTCTCCCCCTACCCCCCCTTAACTAAGAAAAAAATCCCGTCTGCCAACCAATTCAACCCCCTAAAAAATGAAACCAAAATAGAGTTTTTTTATGTGCCTTCTGATGGTTTTCTTTGAATTTTTAAGCGTCTTTTTCTTGAAAAACTAAGGGGGGGACTATTTGGTACTTCAAAGCATCCTTGTCAGCAATTTTTTGAAATTCCTGCAGTCTTAGTTGAAAGTACTTTGAAGTTCATCCACTGAGCATTTTTCAGGAGGATGAGCCTGGCTCGACGATCGAACGTCTACTCCAAGCTCAAATTGGTGAGGACGACCCTGATAATCGTGGTGACGTTCTCACTCTCCTGGGGCCTCTGCGTCCTCTACTTCCTGCTGGTCTGCGCCGACGGCTGCCCGTTCAAGTACGGCGTCAACCCCGACTTCTACCTCGGCCTCTTCCTTTCGTCCTCTGTGAACGCCTTGGTGGGTTTGGAGAAGAAAAAGAGAATATTTTCACTTAACAAAAGGTAGAGGTACTGGAATACGATGAAACTTGGTATATAGGTACTTTCGGACACCCTGAATCTAAAGAAGTTGAGGAAAATTGCGCATTTTTGGTTCTAGTCGGGTTATGGTGCCTCAAGGTTACGTTGAACTGGATTATCATGATTCATTTGCCTAGCGATATTTAGTTTCAATCAATCAATAATGTATTATTTTTCGTTCCAGTCATTGTTTGATCGACTAGGCGGTAAACAAGAACTTTTAAAATTATAACAAGAAACCGTCTTCGGCGAATTAGAAGTCCAAACGTGTAGATGATCAAGTTAAGAAAATCGGCTGACCGTCCTTGTTCTTCTGCGCCTAGTTGATCTAGTTGCGCCTTGACGAGCTCAGAATGTAGCGGATCTTAAAGCTGGAGCTTGTAGAGCGTGCTCTAGATGGAAACCTCGGAATGAGGCGATCACAGAAGAGTAAAGACGTCAGACGGAATGATCAAGTTGAGAAAATGGTCTGACGGTCCTTGTTCTTCTGCGCCTAGTTGATCTAGTTACGCTTGGACGAGCCTAGAATGAAGCGGATCTTGAAGCTAGAGCTTGTAGACCGTGCTCAAGGTATGAGGCGAACACAGAAGAGTGGAGACTTTTCACGAATTTCAGTATCTTGAGTATTTTCCGACTTCCTAGAGTTCATACAGCCTTCAGTGTATTATTCCTGAAAAGATTGGCTGATTTGTGATACCCTTCATGCACTAGAAACTTTCTTGCGATTTTCCGGTTTTTCTGAACTTTTGTAAGTAGATACTTCAGAAGCCAGGATGAGGCCAGCGTAATTCACACCATAATTTTTTTTTCATTTCAGGTGATGATCAAGCTCGCGTCAAATCCGTTCATCTACACGTTACGGATCAAGGCGATCCGCGCCAGCGTCGACCAACTTCTCAACTTCGTCTGCCGTCGTCGGACCTTCCCGGCTGCCAAAAGCGCCAAGGCCAGCATGGCCCTCCTAAGTTCGGCCTCCATTCCGAGCAGTGTATAAAGAATAGAGTCCATCTTTCATCACTTGAAACGTCGGGGTGCGAATTTTGGAGAAAAGTTTTGAAAGCGGTCGTCAGTTTGAAAATTTATCGCATTAGGGGAACTTGGTTACATTTTGTTTGATGTATGAAAAAAAAAACAAAAAACCTCTACACAGGTACCGCGGGTCTCCCGGGAGAAATTCGGGAGACGCGCGGGCGGATTTCGGGATTCCTATGGTTTCTTTGTCTTTTTGACCTTTCCCGCTGATCAAAATCGATGAGTTTTAAGTAAATATTGAGCGTTTGAATTTCAAATTTGCGCCAAAACCGCGTCGCGACCGCCTCGCACCCCGTCATTTCAAGTCGAGATAAATGGACTTTACCAAAAATGCTCTTCGGGTCCTTCCAATTGAAATTTTAACCTTTATACGGGCTTTTTTTCTCAACTTTTTTGTGTATTTCCACTTGATCTCGCTTGGTTTGTATGTATATGAACAAATTTCTATCACGTTGTGAATATTAATAAATTATTATTGGGTTGTTCAATGAACTCATTTCGTGAAATTGAGTGTGAAATCTCAACAACTGCCGTCACTGGAACAGTTGTATACACGTGAAATGAAAAATGATGATTTTGGGTTATATTTTTTGCAGTGACCAAACAGCCAAATGCGTCGTGGAACACACATATGGACCGTTTTTGAAGTTAGTTTTCTTCAAATTTGTTTTTTCAATTTGTCGACACATTTTCGAAGAAAAGTTAAGTAAAATTGTGATTTTGTGACGTTTAGTTCGGAATAAGGTTTAAAATCCATCACACGGAGCCTTTTGTACCAATAGCCGTAACTTTTTTTCGAATTTTCAAAATTTTTTTTTTTTTTTTTGAAAGACTTAATAATTAATTTTCTTTTCAAGAAAACGCCAAACTAAGTTTCGTTGAAGAGTTGGACTTATCCTGGACTTTTGAATTGATTAGACAGAACTTTAGCCGTGAAATGAAGGTTTTCAGAATTTGCTAGGAAAAAAAGCAATTGTGATAAAAAAAAAACCCCTTTTTGACTATTTTGGAGAGTGAAAAAGAAGATTTTTAGCTTTAGTTGAAAGTTTGGAACCTTCTTGAGTAATTTAAAAAATAGTTCTAAAGAAAAGTGTCTAGTATTTAAAGGAGCATCGCGGTGAAATTCTTAAAGTCTTGTCAAGAATTCATAAACAGTTTTTTTTTGACGACGCGCCGCCCATATTTTTTCCGTAAAGTGTAGTGTCGCTTGTGCATGCACCACCGCGCTCCCGCACATGCCGTGTTCAAAGTAGCTCTCGTAAAGTTCAAAATCTTCTCTGAAATTTCGATATTCAGTTATATTTTTCACTCTCTGCCACCAGAAAAGTTTCCTTTTTTTTTCAAAGAGAAGTCGCTTCGTCTCATGACCCATTGAACATGCGCCTTTAATATTCCCTGTTGTTACGCTTGTTTCCCATGACGTCACATGGGAACGGCGAAGTTTTGGCTCCGTCCCCTTCATTTTTGGTTTCACATTTTCTTCCACTGGCAAAGACGCCGTATGTCCGATTCAAAACCACCTTGGGACGCTAAAGGGCGTGAAATGTCTGCGCTCTCCACCAACCAGGCACTATCTCTTTTCTCATCGTGTTAAGACCCTTTTTTCTATGAATTAGCTATAACTTGGACTGGTTTCTGTATTCATACAAACAGAAATGATGAATTTATTTCTTCATTCAAACCTTCATGAAGAGCTGAAAAATAAAGTTTCTTCCGGGAAAATGGCTTCATTCAGCAACTACCTTCACAGGACTGATTGTAAATGTTCACACTGAAACATGGGAATTATTATGAAGTATATCATTCACGACACTCTGACCTGTCTGCGCTCTCTTTCCCTCGGAAATTTTCATTTTTGGACCGTTAAAATATGAGCTAAGTTACCCATATAGGAAAATGCTTTGAATGATACAAAAAACGAAAAAAACTAAATTTTAAACTCGCGCCAAGATCGGTGTACAGAAAAATGCTAACCGTAACATAATTCACACAGAGACAATTTTTCGCAGCCAAAAAGATTTTTGATAATATTCCAGCAAAAAAAGTTCATGGAATTTTTTTCGGAAGTTTTTACCACGAAGGATTTCCGGATTTAAAAAAAAGTAGTACGTAGGGACCGCAGACGAACTTTCAAAAAAAATTTTTCAGCATTGAGCTTTGTATGGTTTGATAGCTGTTTCGATTCCAAACTCAGAACCGTTCAGTTTTTCGAAAAATATTGAGGATGAAAAAAGTTATGACGAAAAATGTGGCGCGCCGCGCACCATTTTTTTAGTACTGAAATTTTAGTATTATTCATTTTTGAAATTTTTTTCTCGATTTTTTTCTTCTAGAACAAGTTTTGATACTGGTCTATTATGATGTAACAAATCATAATAGAGTGCTAAAATGATGCTCATCAGCTAGTTTGCCGAAAAAAAGTCGGTATTTTCCAGAAAAACAAAAAAACTGACGCTTGCGGGCATCGAACTCGCGACCTCAAAAAGAAATTTGGCAGCGCACGCGCTGCGCCAAGCTGTTAGGTCTAGCGAGGGGAGCTTCCATCCGCCATACCCTTGAGCCGTTTGAATAGCACAGATTGCCTATTTCAAAAATAAAAACTTGAAGTAATCAAGCTATTTTTATCAGAATATGTTCGCAAATCTTTACTCAAACTTTCCGTGAAAATTCACTTCGAAAAAACTGTTTTTTTAGTGCTTTTTTTCCTCGTTTAACGATCGCTGCCTTCAAACGGCCCCCGTAAATTTTTTTGGCAAAGACGAATTTTTTTATTTTATTCTTTTAATTGAAAGATTTTTTTACTAATAAATGTATATAATCGTTTAAAAAAACCTGCGTTCGACCGCTTTCTGTATGATAAACGCCGCTAATTTTATTCTCTAGTTTTCAAGAGCATTTTTTTGCGTATTAAACAACTTTTTCAAGCACATATTTTGTGGAGAAATATTCAAGTAAGCCCATGATCTAAATTTTGAAAAAAAGAAAAAAACTCGATTATATTTGCATATTAACGATATTTTTGAATTACGACTTTCGGCACTCCCTAAAAATTTTTTTGGCAAAGACGAATTTTTTTTATTTTATTGTTTTAAAATTACCGTTACTTGAATCAAAAACCATTATTTAAAAAAAGAAAGAGTGCGTTCGACCTGAAAACACATAAAAAAGCAAAAAATGACAAAAATTTTTAGTTCCATTCACGTTTTTTTGTACGACATTCCGCGAGAACGCATCAAAAAAGCGTGAAATATTTTTTAAACGAAAGAGGAAGCTTTTCTGTACATGTGTGTCAAATTTTATAAGCCAGTTCCACATATTTTGCAACTAAAACAAAATGAAAGTTGAAAACCAAAAAAAAGCCACTTTTTCTATCGCGAAAAGGGGCGTGGCTTTGCGGTCCCTAGTAGTACGCTACAAAAAATGAGAATCTTTGCTGCGAAATTCGTTTTTGGCGGGAATTGAGACTTTTTTTTTCGGCTCCAAAATTGCCTGTACAATTTCAAGTACACCTTTAGAAACATTGAGAATCGCTGATAAACGGATCAATCTCTCAAAAATCACAAAAACCTTCAAGAAAAAAAAAGAGCAGGAGTTCATCCATAGGAAAGATGAAAAGAAGACGAACTTGAATAGTTTTCCATCCCCTTGGGTTTTAATTTGCCATTGTACCATCGTCAGGTCCGACGTATCCTTGCGGAACGGAGGCGATAATGGCTGAATCTCATCATTTTTCCACAACCCACCTGTCGAAAATACGTGTACATAATTAATATCGGTCAAGTTATTGACGCAGGTAGTCATACGAAAGTTGAGCTTCAACCAAATACTCGTATTTTTCGATTCCGCCCTCGTTACGGCCTTCCGGGCTGTTGCGTTAAACCAGTTGCAAATCGTTGTGAAAGAGAATCCCTACAAAATGATTTTTCAGTGGAAGATGAAGCTTAAGATATCTCGTAACGCTTCTCATTCTGCTACATATATTGGGAGTTCGGTCCTAGTGAAAAAGGACGGAAAAAGTGCTTTTTATCGTTAAAAAGTCAGATATCTGAGATAAGGGCCGGATCGGGCTTATAGAAAGGCTGACGGGCACAAGCCTGGTTAAGAGAAAGTCCGTTTCGCAATAAAGTTGCTCTACGGACAATCATTTTCTCTCGATTGTATTTTATATCTATTGCTCTATTACTACTTGAGAACCACTATAACGGCCAATGAGACGCAAAATAGTAGCTTCTTCGGAGGTTGTTTAGTGGCCACCCTAGTGTCCTTTTCAAGTAGTCCTCAAGTAGTCACTGAAGTTTTTCCAGTGTATCTCAAAAGTTCCGATTAGAATATATTTTCGAAATATTGCCACGAAAACGTGACGACGGACGCTGACGAAGACGGAACTATCACTGTCGCCAACACGGATCTCCCCAGAGCGAATTCGTTCAAATACCTTGGCTCGACGATCGCCGAAGACGGCTCAATCGCAAACGACGTCACCGCACGTATACAAAGTGCCTGGATGAAATGGAGATCTACAACTGGCGTGATGTGCGACCGACTTAAATCGAAGATCTACCGCACCGTGATCCGCCCAGTGGCAATGTACGGTACCGAATGTTGGCCAGCGACGGAGAAGGACGAAGCAAAATTGGCGGTCATGGAAACTACGATGCTTCGCTGGACCGCCGGTGTCACGAGGCTCGACCATGTGAAGAACGAGGACATCAGGAAGAGATTCGGAGTGGCGCCGATTCGAGAGAAGCTGCGCGAAAATCGCCTGAGATGGTTCGGCCACGTTCTACGAGCCGACCTTACGTCCATAGCGAAGACAAGCCACACGCTGGAAGTCGATGGAAAACGGTCAAGAGCCCAAAAGAAGATGGATGGACACGCTGAACGAAGACCTTAAAGCGACAAAACTACATCCAGACCAAGCAGCCGACAGAACAAAATGGCGACAACGTTCCAGAAAAGCGGACTCCGCGACCGAGCGGGACAGACGCTGAAGAAGAAGAAGAAGAAGATGGCCACGAAAAGTTGTCCTTGAGCTTATAGATTACGGTAAGCAAGTTTGCGTGCTTCGCTGTTTTAAATCGAACTCTAACAAAAAAAAAGGGTCTACCGCGCAGAAAACCCCAAAAAGTGCTACTTTTCGTTGATGTTTTCGGTGCACTCCGCGTTGGATCTGGACGGCGTGCACCCCTGGGGCAATCGGCCGGAAATAAACGTTTTTTTTTGAGCTTTCGTAACAGCCTAGGATGAAAACTTTGAAATCATGTGCGGAATAAGTACCTTAATGGGCATTCAAAGCAAAACGGAGTCCCCCCCCCTGGTTGCACTGCGGGGTGCACCGAGATTTCAACGCGGGGCGCACCGCAACCTTTGTTAGAGGAAGTTATAATTGAGTTTTCCCGAAATTAAAGACTTTTGTTCAAATCGAATTGCTATTTGAAATATTCCGACACAAAGTTATGAAATATAGCGCGTCTCGAAACGTATTTATATTTTTTTGAGATCAATATTTTACTCCTAATCGAACCTAAAAACCGTACCCAACATTCGATTGTGCTGTCACAAAAATCCAAACAACTGCTTTCCGTAATGGCGTCTGGATTTTTGACAGTATTGGGACTTGATCCATTGAAAATAATGTACGAACCTGGAAAATTCCCAAAACGAATTCCGAAAAGAAGCTTACCACAATTTTCGGAGCTAATTGGAGGAAAAAGGAAAATGAGGAGAATCGGCAGCATTGTCTTTTGAAGAATTGAGACAAAATCCCCTTATTTCGTTTAATGGGCTAATTTTTTCGAGGAGGTTGGCATGGAATCTTTTTTTATTGGAAGGAAGATTTGGAGAACTTTGAACCTTTCTGATGATTTGAGAGACTTGAAAGATACGTCTGTCATTTTTTTTTTCTCGATATTCGGTTGATTTTTTTCTGATTTCTGGATCAACAATTACACATTTAAAAAGGTATAGGGGCAGTAAAAAATGGGGTTTCAGGTGAAAGCAGTATCTTATATAGTTTTTCTTTGCGAATCGAACGGTGTACTCAAAAAAGCGCAAATCGGAATACTTTAGAAGAAAAACGCGATTTTACTTTCCCGCCTCTATTTTTGAAAAAAAGCTTTGGATCGGTATGCAGACAACTTTTCACAGTAGCCGTGCACGCGATGTTGCGGACGTCTCATTAGACTCGCATTTTGTGAGAAATAACCGGATATCTGCTTCAAATTAAAGGTTTCTTCTCTAAAAAAAAAAATCGAAAAAAACGCTTTTTTTGCGGTCAAAGTTTGCAAATTATACATGAATATAAAGCTTTTGTGACGAAAAGAACTTTTATGACAGAAGAAAAAATTGAAAATTGAAAGAAACGAAGAAAAAAGCGAAAATCCGGAAGATGGCGAAGCGTGTTGTCCATAGAGCAACTTTGCTGCAAAACGCCCTTTTCGCGGGAACTCAAGCTTTCCTTTCTCTGACTTTGAATTATTTTTTCTCCGAAACTAGGAACTTCTGTACGTTTCCAAGTTCACCGTTCGATTCGCAATGAAAAGCTCTACAAAGTACTTCTTTGAACTGAAACACCGTTTTTTACTGCCCCTATGCCTTTAATTAATTGACAAAAGGATAATGGAAAAAGAAAATTGATAAAAAGACACAGATTGAGATCTATCAGAAGCTCGAATATCAACTTAGATTCAGTAATTGATGATAAACGTATCCCTACTACTTCTAGCCGGGTTTTAACGGGTCCAAGACGCGAAAAATCTTTCTTTCTTCCTGTAAAGATAGATTGAAAACTGAGAAATTGAAAAAAAAAACTTTGTTTAACTGAATTAGGCTCTGAGAAACTGAGAAAAGTGCTCTGGATAACTGAAAAAGCCATCCGGTCTGTTCAGATTTTAAAAGTCAAGCAGCTTACTACGCTTCACAGCTACAGTATCTTTCACTTGGTTTTTTTTAAATATTTGTTAGCGCTGCTTTTGACTTTTTTTTTCAAGGTGTTAGATCAAAAAGTTCAAAAAATTAGCCGCTATTGAGGAACCATCGACGCGAAAAGGTTTTCTGTAGCCGCGAGAGGCGGAGTTAGCTTTGAAATTCTGAACGGACTCTCCAGTTTTCCAGCGCAGTTTTTATCAATTTTTCAGGACCTGATACCATAAACCAGACAAATTGCACTGTTTTCACCTTTTAGTCGAGTAAAGTCATAATTTTGTATGACCGTAGTTTCAACGAACTCTCGTTTATTTTTGCAATTTCCTTTTGAAAGTCAAAATTTGGATATTTAGGCTCTCAGGGCGGATATCCATCATCGCATGTTGTAATTTTTGGGCATTCTTCTTGCCCGCAGGATTGATTGTAGGGACGCGTGATTGAACTGAAAAAGGAAAATTTCGAGTTTTTTTCATCTTTATAAGGTTCGAAATGATATAGTCCATTTTCCGAACTTGCGGCGTTTGTAATGTGAAGAGGGAGATGCGTTTTTGGGGTCAGTTCGAAATTTTTGTGGGAATCATTTTCATTTATTCGATGAAAAATTTCAAAGTAACCTTGTTTAGAAGTTTTTCACGTCAATCAATACATTTTATAAACAGGAAACGTCAGAAAAATCGGAAAAACGCAATGCATCACACAAATTGCAAATCCCTCCTGTGAAGCCAGAAAATAATCTTAACTAACGTGAAAGTTGATCCATTCAGGACGATCTTCCATTGCAACATTTCAAACGATGCTTTTTTAGAGTCGGTATAGTTACAAAACGGCCGTGACCATCCCTAAAATCCCATATTTTCATTAGGAATTCTCGAACTACATATTGGAGGTCTTCAAAGGCGACACACTCCGTCAGGTTGTAGTTGAGCATCAAATGGACTTTTCTTGCGGTTTGATTCAGTTTTTTGACGATCAATTTTCCGTTTGCTGCGTTGAGCCAATGACACATTAAGCGAGGGTCAAAATAAAAGGCCTTGAAGAAAATAACTTTCGTGGCTCCGAAAATTCGAAATCGGAACCCCGCATCCTCTTGTACATTCGCAAAAATCTAAGCAACTGCTTTCGGATGTGATATTCGA